AGTGATTTTTTGTAAATTTTTTTAGTAACATTACCATATTAAACATTACTCAGACTAATAGATAAGTGTCCAATTACAACTCTTACCAAAGTTGTTTACATTACCTTTTCAAAGTTGTATTACATATGGCAATTATGTGTTTTATATAGTGTTATTTCTGAAATGAGAGTGGTCTAAAATTATTTACATCCATCCTTATAAAAAACTGGAATAAGTAGGAGCAGTATTGGACGAATAATAAAAAAATAAAAATTTAATCCTTATAAGATACAGCTGCACCAAGAACTGTATCAAAGGGATTTTCAACAAAGAATCGATTTTTGTTTATAGGTTATGGAGAAAGTAGAATCAGATGCGGATTTTTTTTATAATGTTCTGTTTTCGGACGAGTGCACGATTCATAATAATGGACTCCTTAATCGCCATAACTGTCATTATTATAGTGATGAAAATCCTCACGTCTTTCGTACTTTCGATCATCAGCATAGGTGGTCCTTGAATGTGTGGGTAAGAATATTAGGTTTACATGTTATTGGTCCTTATTTTTTTAGCGGTCATCTTAATGGTAGAAAATTTCTAAAATTTTTGCGGAGAAAATTATCTGGGCTCCTTGATAATGTACCTTTAAATACTAGGCAGAAAATGTGGATGCAGTTGGATGGAGCCCCCGCACATTTTCAACTTCGAGTACGGCGATACTTAAATCGGCGTTTTGTTAATAAATGGATCGGAAGAGGTGCGGTCCACATAATTGGCCTCCAAGATCTCCAGGCTTGACGTCATTGGATTTTTTTTATGGGGACACATACAAAGTATAGTTTATAACACCCCACCAACTACTCCGGAAGATATGAAAGCTAGAATAAGAGCTGCTTTTCATACAGTAATTGGAGAAATTCTTCTCAAAGTAAAACGATCCGTTGAAAAACGAGTTCAGTTGTGTTTAGAACAAGATGGTCGTCACTTTGAACATTTTGTATAATTCATTTTTTGTTTTGTTTTCAATTTGCTTCTTACTCTTTTTCATTTGTGTGTAGTTTTCAAATAATTCAAATTTTCTTGTCATTATGTGTTTTTTTTATTAAAAAAATTATAGTTTTGGTTTACATTGAAACTATTTAACATTTAAAAGTAATAAAAATGTTTATTTCGTTCAATGCCATATTCTGAGTGATATTTGCTCTATGGTTACTATGATTAAAAAATAATATGATAAAATCCGTATGTTAAAAATAAAAAACAGCTATTTACTAAAGATTCATCGAATTTAGGTATAGGGAAATCTTATATGGAATAAAAAATAATTTAAATGTCTAGCAGTTTATGTTATTAAATACAGGGTGTGCCATTTAAAATAGGAATATTATTCAACTCCATATGTAAGTCGAATTCAATTACACTAAATGAGCACCCTGTATGATGTAATGGAAAAAGGACCCCGCAATAATCTTATGGAAATTGGGTTCCTGTCAAATTGTCTGAATTTTTGATATGTTGTAGATTTTGTCATCCTGAACAAAAGTCTCAATGGGCACAAAGTGCCAAAATGAATATTTTGGCATCTACGGAGCTGCCAAAGCTCCCCTGACCCGTTGCAAAACTATTCATTTTCAATACTATTTACAGATGTCAAAAGCATATTTTAATTATTCTAATATATAGGGTAATGTTTTTGAGGTCACTGGATTCAATCCTATGAAGACTAGAGATAAGGAGGCGAATCGGCCTTGGTCAAATTTCAAATTTCCGTCCCTATTTTTGTGGAGTTCCAAAAAACTACTGTAGTTGGCGGGTGGCAAAATAACGACGTCTATTTTCTGTGCAAGTCAATGGGAATTAAAGTGATTTTTGTAAAATTTAGTGAAAAGAATAAAAATAAGCTGAAATAAAGAACCTGACTACAAGTAACAATGAGTAACACAAAATGGCAAAGCAGGATTTGCTTTGTTCTGGGTTGAAAAACTGGATATAAATCCGATATAAAATTAAAGAAAACACAAGGAGATAAAAATCCAAGTCTCTTTAAAGCTCCTAGTGTAAGTAAAATAATGTTTTTATTTCTAAATAATATATATTTATTGTAAAATAGTCACAACCCGTATCTTACGGAGTGTAGTTTATTTAATTACAAAATTCTATAATAAAAAATAAAGTCCTAAATCCTGACTTACAAACAACAATAATTACACATTAAATTTAACTTACTAGAAAAGAAAATTTGCTTTTTTTATGTTTTTTGATGTTAGATGAAGAGTTACTACTGTTAGTTTTCTTTATCGAACTCCAATTTAGTCATTGCAAATATTTTTTATAGGATCCTAAACGTTTACAACAATGGCAGCATGGCTGATAAAGTACTGTCTACTTATGATTCTGTTTGCGAGCTACACTTTTTAGAAGATGATATTTAAAAATTTGATGAAACTATTTTAACTAATGGTACTATTAACAAAATAAAAAGGGAAAGGTCGAGATTAAAGAACGAAGCAATACCATGTATATTCCCGAATCTCCCTTCATACTTGTCCAGTATTAGGAAAAGACGAAAACCACCATTGAACCGAACTGAATTTGTTAGAATAAAAAAAGGAAGAAAATACTAGAACCCATTGCTGAAGAAATTATTTACCAGGATGATGAAATTGTAGTTGTCGAATACAAAATTACCACAAAACTGTACTTACCAAATTTCGCCATTTAAAAAACCTTTTCAAATTTGGTCATACCTAATTTTTATTTTATTTAGATAGAATTAAATAAAGAATACATAAAGACTCATTTATAATTAATACCAACAGTATTTTTTGTACTTTAGTTAGCAATTAAAACAAAGACTTATTTACAATAATTAAAATCAACAGTATTTTCTGTGCTTTAGTTAGCAATAAACAATTTGATTTTTATTATTTTCATAAAATTTTGTAAAATCCCTATTTTCATTTAAACCGTGTCTTAGTATGCCCTCAGTCCTATTTAGCTTTACCTAAAAAATAATTAGCCCTTCCCATCAAATTTCAACACTTACCATCAATAATTTGCATTATACTTAAATAGGAATAAATAGTAAATAATGTATCAATTAAAATATGTAAGACTTATTTAGAAATAAATACAACACTATGTTCTGTGCTTTATTTAGCTATAAACAAGTTTATTTTTATTATTTTGACAAAATTATGTATAATTCCCATAAGAAGCCATGTATTTTAAACTACGTAAACCGTACCAGCGCCCATGTGGTTAATTGACCGTATTTTGAGCATGCCGATTCGCCTCCTTACCTCTAGTCTTCATATTCAATCCTCATGTCAGATTTGACAAATTGGCCGTTGACAGCTGTCAATTCACGGTCAACGAGGAATATAAAAGTAAATATCCTCTTTTCACATTGAGAGTGAGGGTTTTTGAGGTCGCTGAATTCAATTCTCATGTCAGATTGAACAAATTGACAGTTGACAGCGAAAAGAGGATATTTACTTTTATATTCCTCGTTGACCGTGAATTGACAGCTGTCAACGGTCAATTTGTCCAATCTGACATGAGAATTGACTTCAGCGACCTCAAAAACCCAAACTCTCAATGTGAAAAGAGGATATTTACTTTTATATTCCTCGTCGACAGTGAATTAACAGCTGTCAACGGTCAATTTGTCCAACTGACATGAGGGTTGAATTCAGTGACCTCAAAAACATTACCCTAATTATGCTGCGTTTGAGAATCCACATCGGATGCATTTTTTACATCTCGAGCGTTTTTTTATCCACATCGGACACATCTGTCCCATTACATTTACGTATACTGAACCACGTGATCAAAGATTTTTTACATCTCAGATGCATCCGATGTGGATTCTCAAACGCAGCATAAAAATATGCTTTTGACATCTGTAAATAGTATTGAAAATGAATAGTTTTGCAACGGGTCAGGGGAGCTTTGGCAGCTCCGTAGCTGCCAAAATATTCATTTTGGCACTTTGTGTCCATGAAGACTTTTATTCAGGATGATAAAATATACAACATATCAAAAATTCAGACAATTTGACAGGAACCCAATTTCCATAAGATTATTGCGGGGTCCTTTACATTTTATTCGATAGTCCAATATCTTGGCTACGCATATCGCAGGTGACTGTTGATATTTTTTAAATAACCGCGACATACTAGGTTATGTTGTTCAATCTTACAAATTAAGAATCCTTTTAAATATGTTTCAAAATCGAAAAGAGGTATAGGAAACATTACAGAAACTTTACCTTTATTTTTTCCGGGGAATCAAAAGACACCATCAAATATAGGGTGTTCCCTTTAAAAAAACAACTTTGATATAAATTTCTATTTTTGAGTCACCTTGTATAATCCAAATTATGTTTAATTTGTAGTGTTAATGGCCCTATATATCCCTATTATGAAAAAAATTCAAATTTTAACTCGTTTTGCCTACAGAGACCGACGCGTATAGGCTGCGCCACCCTGTATATTTTTATTAGTTTCTCTTGTAATCTGCAGGCCTCTGTATTTTTAAATATATTTTAACAAAATTCACCATATCACAACCATACAACTTTTAAATATTTTTTGGTATGTAGGTAGGTAGATATGTAAATAATAACAACGAAGGATGGGTAATTTAGAATAACCACCTGTGTGTATAATCACAACAAAATACTTTCTCAACTTTTGCTCTTAATTAAAACTTAGATCTACAAAATCTGTACTTCCGTAAAGGCATTATAAAAGTTCGACAAATGGGTATGCTAGCGCCATCTAGTTCCAAGCCGTCGAATCACGCTTGATATATTATTACAGAATCCCTTGTAGTAAGAATTTCGAAGACTGCAATAACCACTAAAACTTTAATCAATGAAGAATAAACATTTTTAAATGTATTTACTCGCCTCAAGTATAAAAAAAGAAATACTTTTGTTAGGCAAAAAAAACAGTATTCTTTCGTAACAAAAATTTTATTATTTAAACTTATAAAAATATAAATTATAATATGTACTTGAAGGAATTTAACTTAAACTAGTCAAAGGAGGAAATGGGTTTTGCTTGCTAACAACAACTTTTCTATGTTGATGGGAAATATAACCTTTGATCTTTCCTTGGTATATCAAATTCGCTACGAGACATTCAGTTTCATCTAGATCCGCATCTTGTCCTAAACTTTCTAAAGCCCGTTGCAATGATTCGACCGGTATCTGATGGGTATTTAAAATCAGATACACTTTTCTAAATAAATTCCTGTAAGCGATTATTTTTAGTTTATCTATAATCAAGTAAATTCCGCTAGTTATGAAGAATGATTCATGTTTATCCATAAGCTCATCGAAAAGTTTCAAATTTCCTTGGCACACTGCTTTCACTAGGTCCCAAAATTCGTCTACGATACCATACTTTTCCAGAACTTGGCGACTAGGTATGTATCCCAGGAGCATTTTGACTGGGACAAGGTAAGTCAAGATTAACTTTTTGTTCTTTCGGCTGGTTTTGTGACAATTTTCGAAAGCATATGTTAAGTATTCGTCTGCAGCTTTGTAATTGCTGTCGTACATTGATTTTCTGCCAACAAAGTACCTTAAATAAAAACAGATAATTTATAATTCCAAATATGTGAAACGATTCTAAATACAAAATGAATCAAATTTACAAAAATTATTATGCCTTGAAATAAATTTGTAAACAAATGGATTAAATAACAAAGAAATTGGAAATATGGGACAGGAAAATCATAAGGATTTTTGACGGAGTTAAAAATGGAACTGGGAAGTGGAAGATAAAAGAAGAAATAATATCTATTGTGGGTATGCAAAGGAGTATAAGTAAAAAATTTATAAGCTGAGTAAATCTATGTTATGTCTTATAACAGAGCTGGGGAGGATTCGAATCACATAGGATTCGAATCACATAGGATTCGAATCCAGGATTCGAATCCTTTTTGAGGATCCGAGAGCGGGATTCGAATACTTTAGAAAAAAAGGATCCGTGATCCGGATTCGCAGAGAAAATCCTAAAGGATTCGTATTCGAATCTTCAATATCAGTCTCGGATCCTTTTAGAGACCAAACTACGCCGGCGCGAACGGCCGATTCAAGCTTTGACTTGTCGCGGATTGTAAACTAAAACAGACTGAGACTAAATAGAAAACCGATGTGTTTGGCGTTGTACACGATTACAGAATTAACAAATAATCTGATATAGATCCTCAATACAGGTAAGTGAAAAAAAATTCTGCATCCACATCCACATGTAGGTATATTATTTATTTTTGCACGATATACAAAATAAATATGTGGGCGATATTAGTGTATTGAACGAATATAATATATAATTATATCCATTCTATGTTTTCTATCAATTACAATTCATTACTTAATGTCAAGTTGGCTATTTTTTTTATTGTTTAAAATGAGTTTTAGTTATTAATATAAAATATAATTAAAAATTAGTGATTCTTGTGAAAAATCGATAAATAACGGCAATCAACTAGAGTTTTTTTTGTATTTACAAGGAAACTTAAGTAAAGTTTAAACAATTTTTATACTTATACGAGTATGTAGTCAGTAGAGCGCGTCACTTAGGCAATCGCCTTTATGCTAAATGTGACAGCCAGCTTCGTTTGTCAGCTTCAAGTTTTAAATGTTTTTATTTATTTATTTACGGGTCAAAACTCATTTTACAGAATTGTATACCTAACAAAGTTCCTTAACAAATATAAGACAATTGGCAGCATTACAATGAGTATAATTAATACCACAGTATAACACTGACAGTGATTCGAATCCTTTTTTTTTTTTTTTTTTTTTGAAAAAGGATTCGAACATTGGATCCGTGATTCGAATCACATCTCGTGATTCGGATTCGTGATTCGAATCCATTTTTCGAGGATTCGTCCCAGCTCTGTCTTATAAGTCGACTTTTCCCACCAAAAAAGGTATTTTCGTAATTTATATTATGAAGTCCAAGTTCAATAGCGACCCTAATAGAAAGTATTGACTTATTCTATGTTTTACACTAAGTATAGATGACTGAAACTAATTTACCCAAAATGACTAGACTTGCTTGTTAATCACAATTATAATTCATTAAACTTTCTCTCATCATTTCAAGCATTGTGGAAATTCAGAATTATATGAATACTTAGCCATCTTGCTAAATTAAATATAACATTTTTAAAAAATTAAAAATGTGGATATATTTTTATATTAAAAAATTAAAAATATTTTCTATTGTTAAATGGGGAGACATCAATAAAACATTATATAGTCCACTGGAATTAGGTTTTTGAGGCGAAATTTTTAGTTCAGCATAGAGACCCAGATAGCAATGAAGGTTTTGAGTTTTTTGACAAAATTTCACTATGCGCAGAGATGAGAATTATTGAAAGGCCTACATTTTTTTTTATTTAAAATTATAGTGTCTCGACTGCCAGGGTCATTGACACAGGTACAAAATAATATATTATTATTATAAAAAAAAAAAACAATTGAGTATTTATAACTTGTGAAGGATATTAATGTCTTTTAGGAATTTAATAATATTAATTATTTGGTCTTGAGAACTAAGAACTTTCAGATTTGGTGATAGGTTGTAGATTCTCCTGTGGTTCGCAAAGTCTGGGCAGTCTATGATGATGTGTTGGACGTTTAGGGGAAGCATGCAGCACTGACACATCGGTGGATCTTCAGTAGCCATAAAGTAACCCTGTGTTAGTCGAGTATGACCAATTCGAAGTCTTCGGATGGATATTTTGTTCTTTCTTGAAAGATAAGGAATTTTAAACGGTTCGATGTTTGGTTGGATATCACGTAGTTTACATGTTATTGTATTCCAGTGGGTTTGCCATGTTCTCCTAATATTATTTTTGAAAAGGTTTTGGATGTTTTCCATTGCTAAATTTGATGAAGAAGCCTCCTTAGCTGCACGGTCGGCGGCCTCTTTGCCTGGTATACCCACATGTAATGGTATCCAAATCACTGTTATGGATACTCCTTGCGCAATGAGAAGATGACAGGATTCATGTGTTGTTTGGACCAATGAATTTTGTGAGGAACGATTTTTTATTGACATGATTGATGCAAGTGAGTCTGTGCAAATGGCCATTCTTCTTGTGTTTATTTTAACAGATTTTACAGCTTGGTAGATGCCGAACAGCTCGCCAGTGTGAACACTGACAAAATGTGGGAGAATATTTTTAGAGATGATATCAAGGCCAGAGATCAAAGAGCATCCGACATAGTCTTTTATTTTAGAAGCATCTGTGTATAGGATGGTGTCGAATTGTGAAGAATTTATTAATTCTAAAAAAGTTACTTGAAGTTTCGTTTTTAGGGTCATGAGCTAGAGTGGTATTAAAAGGTGGTAGAAATTTTTCCCATGGCGGCATAGGAGAAATAGGAAGGAGTTGTTCGAGATAAATCGATATCAGCGAGAAGTGGAGCAAGGGTTTGTGGTAATGTTTGAACATTATTAGTGGAAACGTGGACGTTCGAATATACCGCGTTAATTAAGGAATATGCTGGGTTTTTGGGATTTGCTGAAACCCTTGCACAGTAGGTAAGAAGAAGCTGTTGTCGCCTCAGCCAGAGAGGTGGTTTGTTAGCTTCACAGCATAAACTTTCAGAGGGACTGAATCTAAAAGCTCCAAGGCATATTCTTAATACAGAATTTTGAACAGAATTCAGAGTTTTTGGAGCAGATTTAGTTGCCGACATATAGATGAAGCTTCCGTAATCTATCTTGGATCTAATTAGTGCTCTGTACAACTTTAGTAAAACTTCTTCTGATACCCATTGATGGTGAGATAACGATTTCAGAATTTTAAGTCTGTTTCTTCCAGTTAAGTTTGCTGTCAAAAATAAGTCCTAAGATCTTGTGATGGTCGACTACTGCTAGAGGACTACCGTTTATGGAAATATTAGGATTTAATGTGCAGGATGAACGTCTGCTGAACTTTAATACTTTTGATATTGTAGGGGAGACGTAGAGGCCTGTTTTTGTAGACCACAAACTGAGCTGATTCACAGCTTCTTGGATTAGTGTATGTTACATTTTAACCAGAACAGTAGACAATAAGGTCATCTGCAGATAGAGAAAGTTTGACCGGAGGGCCAATGAAGTTGCATTTGTCGTTAATAGCAAGAATGAAAAGAGTCGGGCTTAAAACCGAGCCTTGCGGAACACCATTTTCTTGAAAGAAGGTAGAAGATGTTTTTCCATTAGGAGTAATTTTGAACACACGGTTAGTAAGAAAATTTTTAATAAAACTGAATAAGTTTCCGGTAACGTAACACTTTTTAAGTTTTTCGAGAATTGTAGGTATCAGAAGGGTGTCAAAGGCACTCTCGATATCGAAGATAGCTGCTACGACATCCTGTTTTTTTGAGAAAGCACTGAATACAGGTGTCAGGTGGGCAGGTGTCAGGATTAGATATTTCTCCAGGTACCAAAGAAGTCTTCTGTTTATCATTTTTTTTTACTAGTTTGCACATCGAACCTATGAAACAGATTTTCCAGAAACCCATCTTTTTCGCCGCTACAGCGCATGCGTGGAAAGTGAGAGTCGTTCTTTTAATAAATAATCATTTAATTTTTGTTGAAACTGTCCACTTTGTTAAAAAAGCAACTTTCTACCATGGGGGTATATATCATATGCACAATATGCCAACCCGTTTATTGCGCACACAAACCAGCGCTTGGGTGCTCTGAAGTTCGTTTTACAATAACAAAATATTAAATTAAAATGTAAAGCACATTGAATAATTTAGTAACATCTCCCTTAGTAACACACAAAAAGTATTATTTCAACAATTTTAATTTATATATTCCAAAATATTAAAAAATCATGCCTTCACTTAGTTATTTGTACAATGTTAACCTGCCTTTCTGTCCGCTGCATGACTGCTAGAATAGTTATGTTTATTTAGAAAATTTATTAGGCATTCGTTTTTTCATATCAAGTACTTGAATTAATTGTTTTGCAATTTCTGATTTTCATTATTTTAACCAAGGATAGTTAACTTACCTAAATAGTAATGTAATGATTGTGATATTAGAGTAACTTTCTTAAAGATAATAAATATAGATACATTTGGATATAATTTATAATACTAGAATTTGTTTTTAAGTCAAACTCATTAGATAATCTTTAGAGAATAACAATTTCGTGATATTAGGAGTTTTTTCAATAAAAACTAGTAAACATTTGTAAAAATAGATTGTACTTTGTATGGAAACAACCTAATATATACAAATAATGATGGTAGGTGGGTTATCCGGGTCTACCTCACCTGTAAATAAAAAGGCACCATCAGTCATCTTTAAGTCGTCCTAGAGTGTCATTGAAAATAATAATAGCCATTCTTGCCTCGCACAAGCTCTGCTTGGGGTTTAACTCGTACGAGCGTGAAGTGTAAAAAAATCTATTATTATTTGATATATATTTTTTATTTTTCTTGAGAATTTTTAGTAAATATAATTATATAAATGTATGTGTGGTATTTATTTTACCACTCATAATTATTTGTCATAGAATTTTATATTTTTATTGGCATTTCATAATTGTTACAAACAGCTAATAAAAAAGCAACATTTTAATTATAATTAAGAAGAAAATTTACTTCAGCAATTATCTTTTTCCAACCAATACGAAATAGAGCCATGAACATTTCTATAGTTTATTTTTAATGTTTTTATGAATGAAAAATATGTACCTTCAGGTAAAATTCTGGAGTCAATATTCAGAAATTCAATTATTTTCTCAAAAATTGAGAAAATCTTTAAAGAAACAAAATTTTGCGATTTTTGCCATCGAAATTTCATCATATTTTGAAAAATTGGCTCCAGAGGAACATATAAGTTAACGTTTAGCTACACGTAAATGTTTTGTCTTTCACTAAAAATGAAGTGAAATTTTGGATGGCTATATATTTCGAATTAATTAATTGCTAAAGTAAAAAAGGCCCGCCAATTTTTAAATTAAATATAATATTACAGGTAACTACGTTATCGACAGAGTTAAAGTTAATATTACCGACAGGGGGGGTGGGTGGCTCAGTGGTAGAGTCTCTGCCTGTGGATCCAAGGGTCCCAGGTTCGAATCGCACAGTTGGCCGGGATTTTTTAAATTAATTTAATTAATTAAAATTAATTCTAATGCCTTGGTAGGATTCCCCACTCGACCATTCACTGTTGGGTTCTAATTAACAGTGCTGATCCTAAAGTGGCGCTGGGAAACAGTAACAAAGCCTACACATAACACTAGGCGAAATAGCCTTACCAGTTGAAGCCGATGACACACAAAAAAAATTACCGACAGAGTAGGATTAGTTCAACTACCCGCACCCACAGGTGGCTAAAAGCAAACTTGTTGCCAAATTTCTACCATGCGCTGTAGCGGCGGAAACAATGGATTTATGGAAAATCTGTTTCATAATTTTGATAGGAAATTTTCCGCTCTACAACTTTGCTCTGTTGAAATTTTCCGCCAAAAAGTCTGGTTTTCATGTAAAATGCGAAAAACAGCAATATATATACTTATTGGCACGCTCTACAGGCAAAAATATGAAGTTTGGCAAAAAATGTATAGGAAAAATGTATGTATATTTAGGTAATACCTTTTTTGTCAAAATAAGTCAAAACCTTCATTGTTATCAGTCTCTATGCGGTACCAAAAATGTTCGGTTCGGTGTAATTTTTTGTCTAATTTCGGTGGACTAATATGTTAAGAAATTGAAACTGGCTGCGAGTTAAAGACTATTTTGAGTGTTTGGAATTATTTTTTGGTTTTTAAAATACAATAGGGTGAAGCACCGACGTATCTAGTAAATAAAGTTGATGTAAATTAACGAAATACATACATAACAGTAGACAACAAGAGCACTTTTTCATTTTACAGCTTCAGGAAGAGGTTCACTTGTAAGACAGTGTATTGTAAAGTGATTACTTTCCTTGTATAACAGGAATTTGGAATAAAGTTCAGAAAGTATGAGTAAGTAGGAAGAAAGAAAGGAAGTAGGTGCAGGAAGTATTAAATTTTTGGGAAATAGTGTTACAAAAGTCTAATCAGCATAAACTGCTTAGTTTTTTTTTAAGAACTTTGATTCTAATTTTTCTGTGAGTTTCAACTCAGTGATTCAGCATGTAAATAAGTATATGTTTTATTTTAAAATATCAGATAAAGTCAGATTACTAATCAATATCTTTTTCTGATTCAATTTAATCAAATTTATTCTGATTGTTATGCATCCATGGCCCTTTACTTACAGTTTTTTATAAATTCAAACTTTTTCAGAAATTTGTAATGTAATGTATATAATTAAATATAAGATTCTTTAGGAACTGTAATTTGCAATATCATATGCACCAGTATAAAAAAAAATAAATGAAAATATGATGCACATTGTGTGAATAAATACTGACAGATAAGTTACATGTATTTAGGAACAAAATCATACATAATTTATCGAAAGTATTAGGTACTACTACTAAAAACCATGATCCACAATTTCACAGAGTGATTTCCTCCCCACAAAAACTTACCTATACGTAACTTGCTGTCCCAAGGGAAAAATCTCCTTAAACTGGGATGATTCAATAGCCCTTATCAATGGCTTACATAAATGCAATTTATTGATTCTAAAATAAACTTTAAACAGCTGATTCACTAAACCCAACATTCCTATTCTTTTTGTATCCTCATCTGCTGATCTGTTGTCTGCTGCACATACTCTAAAGCATCCCATTAGGCATTCGGCAGCTTTCTCCAGAATCTCTCCTGGATTCTCTGTGCTACCTACTCGTTGTTTTTCAGCTAGCTGAGCTACAAGTCTGAGGTCAGAAGCTATGATGTACATTATAGGAAGAGACCAGTTTTCTTCTTTCTGTGACTACAATTTTAAGGTACTATTTAGTAAAATTGAAATTTAAATTATTATAATTGAACCCTACGCTGGAACAAGATGTACAGAAGATATCCAAGATGTTGAAATTGCAGTAGATGGATATGTATAAGATGTAATTCTTCAAATCGACACACAGGAAGAGTACTTATTTATCTGCGGAACAACATTACTTTTAGTGTAAAAAGGGAAGATATTCTTGAGCCAAATTATTGGTGTAAAATTGTTAACGTTAATTTTAATAAAACTAAATGGTTGATTGGTGGTTTTTACCATTCGCCCAGTTCCAGTGATGCGGTCTTTATAGATAAAATCGAAGAATGGTGCGAAGATTTCTTATTGGGAAACATTAAAGCTTTAATTGTGGGTGATGTTAATATTGATTATTTTGTAGATAGTTTTTATAGCAAAAAGATAAAAAGTTTCATTCAGTCTTATGGCATTGAACAATATTATAAATGATTATACCAGAATAAGTATGGACAGTTCGACATTAATCGATTATGTTTTATCGAATCAAAATATTTCTGTAAGTGTTCATCATCTTACTAAAATAACAGATCATTCAATTATAAGTATTAATTTTGAGAAAAATGTGGATTATGGGAATGAATTTAATTTTTTCTCTAGAAAATTAAATGTAGATAATTATCATGAGATAAATTTAGAATTAATATCATGTGACTGGTTATTTGACTCAAATAATGTAAATAAAATTTTTAGTCAACTGGAAAGTAATTGTAGTAGAGTTTTAAACAGTGTTGCACCTATTACAGAGATACACATAAAGAAAAATCATGTTTCATGGTATGATAAGGCGGTAAAAGTACAAGTCAGAGAGAGGAATAAAGTGCACAAAAAGTTTTAAAGAGCCTTAGGTCCAGATAAAAATGTATTGTGGAATGAATACAAAAATAAAAGAAATATAGTTGTTAATTCATTGAAGTGAAAGAAAAAAGAGTTTTATGAACATAAAATAGATAAACCTAAAAATGATTCTAAGGAAATGTGGAAAACACTAAAAAAATTAATTAAAAGTAAAAATATGGAAATTAAATTTGCCTCTGTTGGGTTTTCTGTTGATGGATCTGTATCTTTCGCTAAAACAGAAGAAGACGCAGCCAACAAATTAAATAATTTTTTTGTAAATAGTATATGTGAAATAACAAATTCAATACCTTCAACTGATGATTGGTCACCAAATTTTTTAAATGATATTCAATCAACACCAACTGATTTTAAATTAATTACATTAGATCAACTAAAAAAAATCTGTTTTTTCGTTAAAAAATAAGGAAGCTATGATGAGATATTGAGTTTTTAAAGGAAACCTTTTATACAACTGGCTTTGCAGTATTAAATTTAATAAACACCTCACTAGAAACAGACTAAAAGCAAGCAAGATAGTTCCAGTCCAAAAAATTGCAAATGATACAAATGCATCCAACTTGTGACCTATAAATATACTTCCGACGATTGAAAAATTATTAGAAACCGTAGTTTGTGACCAAATATTAGAATACTTTAATAACAATGGTTTGTTTGTGGGAAATCAGTCAGGATTTAGGGAAGGCCATTCATGTGAAACATCTTTACAGTTAACTATAACTAAATGGAAGCAAGTACTCGATGAAAATAAATATATAATAGCAGTTTTTATAGATTTTAAATGAGCTTTTGAGACAATAGATCGTAAAATTTTGATTAATATTATGGTATGAAATATTATGGTTTTGCAGAACGAGTCCTGACCTGGTTTGAACAGTATATGACTGATAGATTACAATATGTAAAGCTAGGTAAATCAACATCTGAAATGCTAAAAAATAAGGTGTACCGCAAGGAAGTATATTAGGACCACTTCTATTTATCATATATTTAAATGACATTAATTATATTGAGTGTGACTTTATTAATCTATTTGCAGATGATGATACACTGGTAGCATGTTAAAGGTATAACTTTAAGAAAATTTTAAATAAACTGAATAATATAGTGAGAGTCTTAACTCAGTTTTTAAATAAAAATAAACTTAATACTAAAAAAAACTAAAGCAAAGATTTTGGGAAATAAATATAAATTAAATCAAATAAACTATAATAGATACAACATTAGAATTGAAAATGAAAATGTTGAATGGGTTAATGAATTTAAATACTTGGGATTTATTTTAGATGAAAATCTATTATTGAAACCTCACTGCGAATATGTATGCAAAAAATATCAAAAAAGCTATTTTTCTTCTCAATGATTGCTTCAAATCTCTCCCTTTTTTCTAGATTAACAATGTATAATAGTATATTATTAAACGAGCAATTTATGGTAGCCATTATTGCTAATAATGGCTAATAATGGCCATAAATTGCGAGTCTAATACTATACTTTGTCCACGACCATTATGGTTTCTTTATTAAATAAAAGTTAAGTGTAGAATGGAAAGTTTTTATTAAACATAGGTAACTAACTGTTGTTTTTTTCCACTTTTCAATTTTTCGATTTTTTGATTTTCGATTTTTTGATTTATCGATTTTTTGATTTTTCGATCTAGAAAATATCGTTATGAAAAGTATCGCCTATCTTTAGTTATCTACCGGAATGTGCCAGAATTACAAAAGCGTGAATTATCATAATTCACTCTGTGATATATGGATACTATATGCTCTTAGTTAGGAGGTAGAATATTGATTTATTATTAAGTGGTCGTGGACAAAACTATTATACAACCTCATTTTGACTACTGCGGATCGTTACTTTATAAATTGGATAATAGCTGTTTCCAAAGACTACAAAAATTGCAAAATAGAGGAATGAGAATAATCCTTCGATGTAACAGATACACACCAATAAATGGTATGCTGACCACTTTAAGTTGGATTTCAGTCAGACAAAGATTTTATTATTTAGAAATGACTTTTGTTTATAAAGCAAAAAATAAAAACTTCCTGAGCACTTCAATGATTTTATCACCTACAATAATGAAATACATAACTGCAATACAAGATCTGTTAATAATTTTTTATATTCCACAAACAAGACTAGCTATAGCAACAAAATCTATTTTTATATGTGGATTAAGTGCCTAGTAAAATTATTAAAATGAGTACCTCTTTACCTCAGTTTAAAAAATGTTTAATACAATTTATTTTCAGTCCGTAAATTAAATTAACTAAATTAACTTTGTATGTTTTTTATTTATTTATATATTTATTTATTTATTTACGGGAAACCCCCATGTTACAATAAAAAATATAAAAATATATGTTATATGCACAAATACAAAATAAAAAACAACATCAAAAATTGTATCATGTAAAACATTTGATTAAAACATATGATTAAAACATTTGATTAACAAGGCAGACAAATACAGTACTTTCAAGTGTCATTAAGAAAGTGGTTAGCAATATTTCTTTTAAATGAAGGATATGACGAACCAAAAAAATCCAAGTCTAATTCTATACTGTTAGCAGTCCTAACCAATCGTGTTGATGGACTATAAAAGTCGTAATTTTGTCTATGGTGTTTCATTAGCTCTGTATGCACTATTAATTTTAAGACCAATTTTTAATAAAATATCAGGAGAATATATTGACCCAGACAAAAGTTTGAATAGGAAGCATAGATCTAATTGAGTTCTCCGGTTCTGCAAAGTTGTGATCTCTAATCTGGAACATAGGTTAGCATAATCATAATAGTAATTATTTATACTCACTCCTAATTTATATGCTGAGCATCTCAGAAACTTATGTTGAACCGTTTCAAGTCTATTAATGTGAATGCAATAATAAGGATTCCAGACAACAGCTGCATATTCCATATTAGAACGAACAAGAGTGGAATTTTAAAAGAATTTATTGAGGGACCATTAGAGATTCTTTGTATATAACCCAACAACTTTCTGGCTTTTAATGATATCATTGTAATGTGTTTTAAAAAAGTAAGTTTTCCATCAAACATTACGCCAAGGTCCTTTATTTGGGTCACCAATTCAAGATCTAATGAATTTATACAATAAGTATAGTCTATAATAGTATGGCACCTATTAAACTTAATATAAAAACATTTACTTAAATTCAAATTCATACAATTTAGATTACACCACAATGCTAGGTTGTTAATATCAGTCTGTAAATCAAAACAATCAGATATACTTTCAACAATTTTAAAGATTTTTAAATCATCTGCAAATAGTAGGAACTGAGACTTTTTTATACAACATGCAATGTCATTTACAAATAGATTAAAAAGAAGCGGACCACAATGGGATCCTTGAGGAACACCAGACAATACTTCAATCAAATAAGAAATGTGATTCCCAATTTTGACCCACTGATACCTACCAATTAAAAAACTAGATAGCCAATTTAAAAGTTTACCATTGATACCATAAGAGCTCAACTTGGCAATCAACAATTCATAGTTAACTCCATCAAATGCTTTTGAGAAGTCGGTATAGACAGAATGTACTTGATACCCCCTTCAAAAGCACTCAATATTTCATTTTGATAACTTTTTCCTTGTGAAAAACCATGTTGTTGATCAATTATTAGCCCTTTACATTCCCATGACAAATATTCCATAATGAGTGAATCGAAAATTTTTGGAATGTTAGATTGCAAACATATTCCTCTGTAATTTTTAATGTCACGATTACATCCCGATTTATAAATTGGTCTTATAAAACTGTATTTACAAAAATCCGGAAATACTCCTGAATCAAGTGAAACATTGTAAATAATAGAAATAGGAGTACTAACAGTACATACACACCTCTTTAAAAAGTAAGATGGAACTCCATCTGGACCACAAGAGAAACTGTCTTTTAATTGAGAAATTTTAGAAAAAACTTCACTCAAGGTCACTTTTACATTATTTATATTAATGGTTTTCTCATAGTTTAATACAGATACATTACAATCAGTCTTGACATGTTTACTTTAATATGTATTTATTTTATTTTAACTTTAGTACTAAACGTCTTACTTTTATTACTAATTTTATTACTAATTCTATCAAGACTTTATTTTATATTTATTTTATTTATCCACCTGAATTTGTGCAGACTGACGACAATATGTAATATTTTTAAAAAAACTACTATGTATTAGGACTTCCTATATTAAATAAAGATTCTATAACAATGTTATAAACGCAAAAAAAAATCATTTATTTTATTAAATAAAGTGAATATATGCCTAATATGAATAACAAAACTCATATGATAGTCATTGCAGACTTGACGGATACAGATTTGTTATTTGGGGGCATATTTTCCTCATTTTAATCAAAGTATAATATGCACGCAGGTTACATTGTTTTACAGAACTAAGGCAGTTACAACTTTGTATTAAGCTTCCACTTGTCAATATTAATATGAAGTATTTTATCTCTACTAAGCTGTGTCATAAAGAAGTTGGTCAAACTAACATCCATTTCTGCTTATAACAACCAAGTATGCACCAAAAACATGTAAACAAAGCAAACGGGAGTATAACTAGAAGGCGAGCTAGAAGGCATACAATGTTGTAGGAAAAAAATAACAAATTCAACTAATGGAAATGACACCAGCAAAATTTCCTATGTCCCCACTAAGGAGATTATTTAGGGCCCATGCAACATTGTTCAACGGAAATAACATATTTACACATATTGGTGGGTACAACGTTGTTCCAGCATATGGTTCAATTGTAAATATACAAAAAAAATCAAATTCTCAAATATATGGAAACGTTTAGATCCTTCTGTATTTAAGGTTATCATACAATACAAAAGTCTAATGTTAATCCCTTTTCTCACAGAAAAATCGTAAAAATGTTTTTTAAAAGATGTATTAATATTGCTTACCTGCATGATCTTTGCAAAACATTGTACCAAAGTACTCTGAGCTTGATAAGCTTCTAAAAAATCTTGTTTTCCAATGTAAAATAAACATTTGAAATGAAGGCATACCAATTCATCTAACGGAGAAGTCAAAAATTTATCTACGATTCCTTCGGCCTGTTCTACTTGATAATTTGGAAATTTTGCATGATCGTGTCGTAGTGAAAGAAATTGTGCAGTTTTGTTACCATCTTGGTTTTTCCAGGATCTTTCTAGGATTTGTAGATAGTGCGCGACAGTCATAAAAGCCATTACAATACTAAAAAGAAAGCAGTAACGAATATTAATCTTAAAATTTTAGTAAATAAAAGTACATTTTAAGGTTAGGTTCGAGTTGCGAATTCTTACCTGTGATTACAGTGATTTTACTTGAGTAAAACGTATTTCAAAGTATGTCTCAAATATATAGAACTTGTCTTTATTATATCTCATAGATCAATTACCAACATAGTCTCTATTAAATATTCTAACGCCAATAAACTTCTAAAAAAACAGATTAACCAAACATTGCATTTTCATCAACAACATTGAATGTCAAAAGTCAAGTTAGTCAATCAAGAAGCAAACAGGGTTGCCACATCGTTAAGTTCGATTTCCCCAGTCGAAATTTAAAAATCACAAACTCAGTACTTTTCGAAAAATCTCAGAAAAAATATTTTTTTTTGTAGTTTAAGATTTGTTATTTCTGGATTTTAATAAATTTTCGGGATTACAATATTTTTGCATATCTCTAAAATACCAAAAATAAGCTGTTTTACAAATAAATTTGCAAAAATTAGAAAATATAAATATAATTAGGGTTGCCACCAGGGGGGAACTCCTATGCGCAAGAGTAGGGTAGCGTTAAAATCAACCATCTCCTTGGAAGTTTACCGGATAGATTGCCTTCAAATTATTTTAGTAATCGAATACTAATTGTAATTTTGGTTACACCTTTGTCTTCAAAACAATCTAAAAGAAAATATTCAGTAAAGAAATGCCTTTAACTTCAAATGATTTAGACATCGTATATGTTGATCGAACTAATTAGTTACATCTTCTGGCTTAAACTAAACTTTTGAATACAAAATATGCTATTATTGGTAAGTTTTAAAATTTGATGTATTAATGCAAACCGTTTCTAAAATTTAAAATAATTGTAATTTTTGTTGCAAATAGGTAATTTAGTTATAGAAATAAAACAATACTATTAAAGCAAACTAGGGGACATTAAAGAATGTTCCATTATTTATCAAAAAGATTCCCTTTCGTCGTAATTTATCATTTATTTTTGAGTTATTATTGACTTATTGGACAGTTTTTTTGAAACCGTTTCATAAAACGTAAAAGCTCAAATTACGATGCTACTTTTACCAATCAATGAAATTTTACATTTGACAGGTGTTTTGTGATTTATTGTAATGTTCTTTTAGCGTTTACTTTTGTCAAATAAGGCAAATGGGAACTAAAGTAAGGGTTCTGGACAGTGTTATTTGTGCAAGTTGAAGTAAAATGTGTCTGTAACATATTTTACCGTAAAATAATTTCAGAACCTAACTAAAAATGTTTAGAATAATTACTGATCCTAGAGGTTAATTTAAAGTACAAACCCTATACAAATATTTCAAATTTCAACACTGTCCCTTGTTCTTTCACCTTCATACCAACTGTTTACACAAAGCATAGAATGACCTATGATTCTTAATCAAATGAAACTGTTCGATGACGGCCATTGTTTCTGAATATTGTTACATTTATTTGCCATAACCAGCTACTTCATACATAATACATTTTTTAAATATTGGATTTGTTTTTATTTTTAATAAATTTATTTTTGTTTATGCTTGATTTTTTTTTATCTAAAAACTGTTAAAGTTAAGATTGGTTTATGTAACTAAATTTTTGTTTTATTAAAGCGAATATCGCATGTCGCTATAACAACGCAAAAATGCAGTTTGTGTGAACAAATCTTAATTTGGCTTAATCTTAATGCGAATAATTTTACTCTCAAATTGCCTCGCGCTTTTCTTCTCTTATTTTATTAATATTACCTCCAGATTTACGAAAAGAAAAAGCGGTTCGACGGTGTGATGGCAGGGAATCCTGTATCCAAATATTTTTGGCGAGCTTCTGCGGGGCTTCAAAAAAGTCCTCAGTTTATTTTTATAAACCAGGTTCTTTTAAAGGACATGTGCTTTAAAAAAGAACATGTGCTGTATACAATGACAGGTGCCGTAAAAAAAGGTTTTTTTAGCTATAAAAGGTCACAATTTGTTTGAAAACAGGACAGGTGGCAACCCTAAATATAATGCAAATGAAAATGTTTATTTTTCACATGAATGTCTAACACATAATGCCAATTAAAGGCTAAAGAAAATAGTATTCATTAAAAAAAGTATAATTAAGAAAAAAAGTAAAAGTTAATTATCAATGTCAGCAAAAATGTATATATATTTTTATTTGATTTTAAGATTTACGAGGTTAGATTTGAGTCGAGTATTGCCAGATCTAAATTTCACTGTTATTCCCTAGGTAAACATTTTTCCCCTTCCCCAGAAGTAGTCAGAAAACAATATCACGAAGAAAATAGCCCAAAGAAACAAAATCGTATAATTTTCGGGGAAAATCCAAAATCTGGCAACTCTGCAAGCAAGTCAAAATCGACTGAAGAACAAAGTGGCGTCATCTACTGAAATTAACGTTAAACTAGAGAAAAGTCTACTGTAATTCTAAAATCTTTTAGAATAAGCCGTTCGACAAGAACTTTAGTTTCCGTTACTGTTGTCTAGATGGCGAGTTGTGTAGAAACTTGTTATTGATCGCATTTAGTCCAGTCTTAGGGTGAATCAAATCTTTTAGTCCAGTGATATAACTTTTAATATCTATGATTGCATTCGTACAAAATTATTGTCGTAATAGTTGTTTATTTCCTTCAAATACAATAAACCAAGCATTAATATTATGTACCAGTACATTTCATTATATCAATGACTGAAATCATATTGACTTATATTTTTAATTTAAACATGATTCAAATGGGGCAAATAACATTTATTTTAATTTTTCTATATAGAGCCAGTGATAGAGATATGTGGTTCCAGAAACAAAAAAAATATTATTTTATAATACGATATTTTAAAATATAATACCGAAGTTGTCAGAATATGGAAAAATTCTTATTATATATTTTAAGAAAAATGATATTCTTATCACAAAGTCCTGCATCACTAATAAATTAATAATCAGAAATAAAATTTGTAAAATATTTAGTAGCATATAAGTAAAATCAAAAATACTGAATTATGATGAAATTGCTAAATAAGTAAAATGTACTTTTTAATGGAAATTTTTGTATATTACAAATTTTGTGCTGGATTATTTCCATGTAAAACTTTTTGTAAACAATAATTTTCTATTTGTCGTAATACTAATAACAATTTTTTCCGTAAGCTGACATTATATGTATATATCACGGCGTAACTACAAAGTGTGTCATGCGGGCCATTTTCGATCAGTCTGGTTCTGCTCTAAGTCCTTCTCTGCCTTATTTAAGTGCCTTACAGCCTCCACTATTCCGTTTACCAAAAATATTCGATATAATAAGATAACCTTCGAAGTCTTCCCCAATGGGGGACTATGGTAAATTCACCGGCTATGGACACCACCGATCAACAGTCTGGAATATACTAAAGTATTCGATAAAAGATACGAAATTGAAATTTTTGGTACCATATTAATTCAGTTGAAAAAACGGTGGAGGCTTCGGGAACTTCCACATTTGTGTAAAAAAAGATTCTTTTGCTGTTAATCAATTTATAGAGAGAACCTCTTAAAATTAACAGAAGCTTTTTGTTTATAAAAATGAATTATTTTAGTAGAGTGGTTCTTGTTTGATCTGATATCGTGCCAAACAAATAAAATGAATTGCTTGAATCCATGAAATAATCACAGATAGATTAATAATACCCTATCTGTATCTGTAACATGTGGAGGGTGGGGAACCCCCACGGCACTTAGCCCTCATTAGGCCCATTGTGCATCCTCCTAATTTGATAGGTACCTCCTAGCTCGTGAGCCAGCCTACAGATTAATTGTAGTTGTCAAGGTCGCCAAGAGGTGTTTCTTTTATATCGGCCGGTGTTATCCGATACTCGCCGAACACAAATCTTCTAACAAATGAGAGCATCGAGCAATCGTAAAGGATATGTTCGATGGTCTGATCTCCTTATTCGCACCCTCTGCAGAGTGCGGATTCTGACAGCCCCATGAAATGGAGATGTTTTCGTACTTGGCAATGACCAGTCAGAATGCCTGTGACTAGGCGCAAATTCTGTCTAGTCATAGTCAAGTATTTGTTTGCTGCAGTGTTGTCAGGATAACTTAAGAGCTCCCTGTCAACTCTGCAGTTCCTTGTTTCATCCCATCTTTCTTTGAATTTCACAAGGGAAGGTTCTTTGATTAGGTATGTCACTACCGATTTTGCCAGGCAAGTAGAAGGGCCAGGTCCCAAAAGTATTTGGTTGGCTGCTTTCTTGGCTAGTGAATCAGCAAGACTGTTACCTTTTGATGTGGCGTGACCTTTGGTCCATTTTAAGGTGACCACATTGTTGATGGATACTTCGGCCAAAGCTTTGTGACATTCTAGTACTAAACCTGAGTAAATTCGTGATCTATTCAGGGTGAGTAGTGCTTGTCTGGTATCTGCATAGATGAACATGTTCCTTCCAGAGATATTGTTTCTTGTTATTTCTTTTGCGGCTATGAGAATCCCCGTTAGCTCTGTTTGAACTACACTGGCACTATAGCTCACAGCCCATTTTATGTTTAGGTAATATATTCCACATCTTGAGCCTTGTTTTGTTTTAGAACCGTCGGTGTAGATATGAATCGTACCTGCCACTTCCGGCTCTTCTATTTGTTCTATTATAACTTATGGAAGATATATCTCGGTGAGATGGAGTCCATGTTCGCTTTAAGCGGTGGGAGCGTATCGAGCGACTGCTGCCAAAAGCGACGTCTCGCTTCACCAGAGCCTACATCAGGTTCTATTCCAACCGTGCGGAGGCGTGTCATTGTCCACAGAGCAACCGCCTTGATGTAAATATCAAGGAGAATGAGACTATGATTGACTTCTATGGCTCTGGTCGGTATTGTTTTCATGACTCCTGTTATGTTGAGATCTGATGTTCTTTGAATGTGTTCTAGTTTTCGGATAGCTGTTAATTTTTGTGTTTTTGGTACCCAGACAACTGCACCGGATGTTAGCATAGGTCCGTGCGACGACTCTTGGGGAGAAACCCCAGGTGTGCCCCACGGTTCGGCGGCATTGTTTATAAGCAATGTATGCCAGTCTAACTCTATTTTCTAAATGCGAGTTTCATGTTAACTTGCTGTCAAAGGTGAGACCTAGGTACTTCACCTCTGTTGCAAAGTTTAGTTTTGTGTTTAGGAGTTTTGAAGGTTTTAATTCCATTTTCATCCTCTTCCTTGTGAAAAGGACCATTTCTTTCTTCTTAGGATTGATAGACAGTAAACGGTCCTTGCACCACTGTTCGATCATTTTTAGAGCTACTTGCATTCTTTCGCAGGGTAT